ATATTATCTAATTTAAAATGAATTATTGACAACTGTAAGAAATAAATAAAATAAAAATATTTGGTTATCAATGTAAAAATTAATAAAATGCGTACAAATTTTGGAAATAACGCTTCAATGTTTTCAAAAATTTATTTTTTTAGGTTTCTATAATAAATTTAGTGAAAGAGATTGTTAGTAGAAAGATGAAGATTTCAAATAGAATAAACTTTTTATGTTTTATTTTTTTATGCTTTTCATATTATTTAAAAAAATAATTATACCACTATATACAACAAAAATTAACTGCTATACAAAAAATTAACTTTTTTATTTTTCATTTTTTTATGCTTCTTATATTATTTACAAAAATATTTATACAATTTATACAACAAAAACTATACAACATAAAAAAATAACGCTTACGGGGGGACTCGACCTTGAGACATCACATGAAGAAGCAAAGGACTTAACCACCACGCCACCTCACCTTATGTGGTTATAACTTGATGATTAATAGAATATATTTAAATTCCCTTTTCATTTAATGATGTTTGGGAATTATCCCACATCAAAAGATGGGTATTCCACTTTGATATATTAATACCTATGTAATGTAGATTAAAATATTTGTGTAGAAATATGAGGGTAACCTCACACGTGTCGCACGCGTGCACGTGCGTGTCGCACGTGTGCAGGGAGGGAATTGGGCTAAACCGGGTAGAACCGGTTAGAACCGAATTGGAACCGGCAGTTCTTCTCTAGAACCGGGCGGTTCTCGATTTTGTATCGGAACCGGCACGGGCTGTGCCGGTTCCCGAGTCGAACCGGGCGAGTTCGACTCGCAGATTTTTAAAACACTAGGTTTAACTATTTAGCAACTCATCCACTTCTTTTTTATCTAATTATGAATAGCCCACAATTCTTTAGATCAAATTTCAAATAGCCCTCCAAAGGACATTATCATTGGTCATAAATTGTTGGATGGGTAACATGTTAAATAGTTGATCTCTCATCTGTGATTATATAAATTTTCCTTATTCATGATATTTAATGGATTAACGTCTTAAAATTGGCACCTACACAATCTTTTTGATACAAAATGTTACAAGGAGCCTAAAAAACCAAAAGAAAAAAAAATGAGGCTTAACAATTCATTTTATGCTCATCACATAAATGTTGTCGTCTTGTATGTTGTCTTTGTTACCAATAATTTTCTTAATTGTCAGGATGGTAGAGGATTACAAGAGAGATGTTATGAAGATACTATTTTATTGTTTGCCTTTTTCTAGACATGCGTGTGCAAAACCAAGCCTAGAAGGTTTCCTTTTGCCAATCTCATCATTGGACCCAACTAATATTATGGAAGTGATCCATGGAAAGAAGCAAAAGAGAGGCTTTTTCCTAGCTGATGGGGGAACTCTCCATTTCCTAACTCTCTTTCACTTTGCGTTACTTAGGGCACTCAATCCTATTCTCTTCTATTTTCTTGTTCTCACTTTGGTGCCTTTGAACTGATGAGAACTTGCTTTTGCACCTTACTTATCTTCTCACTTATTCCTAACTTCCTTACTCGGTCACCATTTTGACCCTCGAATACCGTCTGTCTTTCCTTTTCCAAACCAATTATCTCCCATTGTCTTCCAATTCCATTTATTTTCTCTAGCACGGGATTAGAATCAAGATACTATATTTTAATTACACTAAAATTTGGAGAAAATTAAGGGATTTCGTGAGGTGGCTCTTTCCAGTCCATGCACTTTAATATTGCTTGTACTTTTAAGGGGGTTCTAGCAAGAATAGTGCAGCTTGTGAATCTATAACAATTTGGTATCTAATACACCTAGTGAATTTTCTGAACTTTAGTTTCTTTCTGCTATTTTTCTTATCGTCAATGTTTTCAATAACTCTAATTTTGGCATATCAATCAAAAAGAAAATCTTCAATGTTAAAATGATATCATAGTGCCAATAGTTATAATATTTTTTCACTCGATGGTAAGAGAAAAAAAAAAAGAAAAAAGAAAAAAAAAAAAGAAAAAGAAAAAAGAACAAAAAAAAACTAAAGTGATCCCCTAAATTGCTTTTCGTACATTTATAGTCTCATATTGATGGAATTCAAGTTTTTTTGTCTTATGCAAAACTCATGTATGTTATTACCTTTCAGGTGATTTAGGCCAAACATTCAATTCCCTTTCAACACTGGAGCATTACATGCAAAGTGGTGGACAGACTGTATTATTTGTTGGGGATCTCTCCTATGCAGATAGGTATGAATATGACAATGGTATTCGTTGGGATTCATGGGGGCGCTTCATCGAGCGGAATGTTGCATATCAGCCATGGATCTGGACTGTGGGTAACCATGAGATAGAGTACAAACCCGTTTTGGTAATATTCATCTCTAGATGCCTTTGAAAAATTTGTGTCTGGTAACAATTCCCTTCAAATAAACTATTTATGCAATTGCCAATACACACATTACTAATGCATGTTCTTTTACAAATAAACTATTCATGCAATTGCCAATATTGCTAAATTTGGAGATTGAAAAAGAAAAATAAGACCTGGTAGTCTAAAAATTTTTGAAAAGTTGAGAATTAAAATTTATGAGGTGATGGCGCCACTTATTTCTTTTTCTTTTTTTTTTAAGATCAAATGTTGCAGCTGTACAAATTTCAAACCAAATTGATTGTACTTTTCATGGAAAGAGCAGCAGAAGTGCAGCCCATGAAAATGAACCTCAAACACAGAATGATGAATTATCAAGAAAAAGAGAGAACAGTATTATGGAAGTGCATAGGATACTAATCAGCAAAGGTCAACATCAGACTGAAAAAATAAATTTGGTTGGAGAAGGAAGGTGCCTTGATGGCTGAATACTATTTCAAAGGATTTATTAGATAAATGGTTCTCGAAATAGAAAGGTTCTGATCCTTTTGACCCAGATGTGGACATCTAAAGAAATTACACAACTTTGTGCATCCATAGATCATATCCTTTTGGCATTTCAAAAAATAGAATATAAAATAGTTTATAAAGTGTGTGAAAATTTATATACCTGTCAGGTTTGATCATGTCTTGTGGGTTATGAGCCAACAATTGTTCAGCACCTCTAATTTATTCTCTTGATTCATTTGTGGAGGTTGGAAATTTTAATCTAATTCTTTTTGGGAAGTTTATTAAAATACCCACAATACTGTTATCCATTTGCAACTATTCAAATTCATGATCATGTGTCTTTCGATGTGTATTTTGAAATTAAATTAAAAGATATGGTTAGAATGTTAAATAGTTCATCTGTCATGGCTATTTGGGTAAATTTCCTGTTTCTTTTATGACCTTAATATTTTGCTTCAAGACCCATTTCTTTCTTGATATGCTAAATAAATACTTTCTAGGTACTATGTATTGATCATAAAGGAAATATTTGTTGGGTCCTTAATCCTTTATTATTCAACCTTCATTGTCTTGCTAAAGAATTTATGAAGTTTTATACAGTGTTAAAAGGTTCCTTGTAGTTTTAGTTGGTATATGTCTGCAGATGATGTTGACTATAAATGATTCTCATGTTTAGTATCCAGTTTTGTAATATAAAGATATTTTCAAAATAAAGCATCAGCTACATTTGTTCTTACTTTGTTCAAAATGATTACTAGGGAGAATCGGCTCCATTTAAACCTTATCTACATCGGTATGCAACACCTTACATGGCTTCTGAGAGTAGTTCTCCTCTTTGGTATGCAATTAGGCGTGCATCGGCGCACATTATTGTTCTTTCGAGCTACTCACCATTTGGTAATTGCACTTTACTCATTTGTTATCATGAAGAGTTATTTATCCTTTTCATACAGGGATCATTTTTTTCAGACATGTTTTGAGATTATCTTTTAGTTCTTTCTTATTTCGTATCCTTGAGTAGTAGTACACACAGAATATTTGTTTTTTCTTTTTTTTTTCATTTTGCTGGATATTTGGTTAATACAAACTCTTTTGGTGACATGTGGTGTAATATGTAATTCACTATCTCGTTTGTGGTTGGTAGTTTGTCTTCAAATCATTAATTTCCCTGATGAAATCAGGATGCATAAATGTGTTGTATGGTCTTAGATTCTTCTTAACTATTTGTACATTGTCCTAAGAACTAGGCAACCGGTTATAAGAGCATCAATACTAGTGGATTCCACTGACCGTATCATGGTGGCCATAAATCCTGGAAATCATGAACTTACAAGCTCTTGGTCATGTTTCGAATAACCTGTGTTCAATTATTTTGAAGAATGCGGATAATATACTTCTATGAATAGTTTTCATCCATTTTCTATTATTAAAAAAGTAATTTTTATATATTTATTATAATTCGATTTCCAATTTCTTTTGCAAATTAAAATATCATGCTTAGACCACTTTCACGTCTTATTTTCCATGGAAAGCCACTTTAGAACTTAAACTTTTATTACCTTCCTCCATTAAACAGTGAAATACACTCCTCAATGGCTTTGGCTAAGGAGTGAGCTACACCGTGTGGACCGGGAGAAGACCCCTTGGCTTATAGTCCTCATGCATGTCCCAATGTACAACAGTAATGGAGCGCACTACATGGAGGGGGAAAGTATGCGTGCTGTGTTTGAGAAGTGGTTCATTAAATACAAAGCAGACCTCGTATTTGCAGGTCATGTACATGCATATGAAAGATCGGTAAATCCTAATACTTATGTTTATATTTTTTGTTGCATGTGATCTATACCTGATCCCATTTATCCAACATATCCAATTAAAAGCTTTGGAAATAACATAAGACCGCACATAGCATTGTCCTGCCGGAGCACACTATACACTTGCTCCCTCCGGCAAAAGACCTGGTTAGGAGGTTTTACCTGATCTTAAATTGTTAGAATCAGCAAATGAATATTTTTAAAAGCAGAAAAATATCATTTAAGGGATCAAAACCCCTTATAAAATTATTAATTGGAGTCAAAAGATCCTAATTAATGGACGTAATTTACTTTTTACTTTTCATTTCACTCAGGTAACCCCTCAAAAAATATATCTAAAATACCCAATTTGTCCTCGTTTAGGGTTGAAACCCTGAGCAAGCAAGGCCCTTTCAGTGATTTGAACCACCCTAAAGAAGCATGGATACCCCAATCATTTGGCTAGGACCTCTTGGATAGGTCTAATTACTGAAATGCGTCTACTTGTTTAAGACTTCCAACCTTGAACAAAGGCAATTTTGGTATTTTTGAAAATAATGTTTGAAGAGGTATCTAAGTGAAATGAAGATTCAAAAAGTAAACCCTCTAATGTTGGTTGGGATGTTTTGCCCCCTTAATGATTTTGTAAGAGGTTTTAACCTCGTAAATGATATCTTTTCTCAAAAATATATATAATTGGATTTTGACCTCGTAAACACTAATATTTGACCATCAAAAAATTGGACAGTTTATGCTCAATCTTATTTTGGGCACATATAGATCGCACATATTTTTTTTTTCTTTTTTCTTTTTTTAGGTTGGTCACTAGATTGAGGAGGTTACATCCCAAAATTTGGGATCCTAAAAATACTCCATTTAGTATTTTGATATAATATAATATCTATTCACATCTACAAGATGTTTACCTGATATGGTTCTTAATAAGATTGAGTTATTTCATGATAATATGGATATTTCACTGTATTAATTGTGCATGCTTAATTCTTGGTTTTGGTAAATTGCCCCCTTAAGAGTTCTTTACTAGATGCATGTAGATTTGCATAGGAGTTATCTCATCACCCATTTCATGGAGTAACTTTTGTATGGTGATTAACAAAGCAATATCTTCCAAGTCTACATGATTCCCAAAAGGGAGAGAGCATATGGCCTTTATGGCCTTAGTGGTGAACCTTTCAAGGACCTCTCTCATCAGATCTGTACTTTGATCAGTGTTTGCTTCTCATTGTTCAAATTCTTGGCTTTTTTTAGAGTTACTTAATTGCGTTTGTAAATGTATTACGTTGATCTTCACCTATTAGTGGAGACACATGTCCATAGTTTATGACACATCAACAGACCATAGACACAAACACGATTGGCATGTCTGACACTTTAGAAACTGAAAACACTTTCACTTAAACTTTTAAGAACCTAACCTTGCTTGTATGGATGAGATCTTTAATAGACAAGTTTGTGTTTTTTTACTGTCGCTTCATATTGTTTGAAGATAAATGTCTTCTAGTGTTTCAGCTAATTACTTTAATAGTGACAAGTCATTATCAATAGATAAGAGCACTGTTCTAGGCTGCACCATGGACGTGTTCCCCATGATCCCACATTTTTCTTTGTTGAATCCAATTATGTATTATGTTTCACACTCCTTCAAGATATGAAAACTGTACAGGTTATGACTGTAAATTATGTTTTCAGCATCGTGTCTCCAACATTCGTTACAATATAACCAATGGAGAACGCTTTCCAATGCGTGATGAATCTGCTCCTATTTATATAACTGTTGGTGATGGAGGAAATCAGGAAGGTCTAGCGTCAAAGTAAGTTAAATCCTCTCTAGCAATTCACAACAAAAAGTGGATTTTAAAGTTTAGAGAGAGAGAGAGAGAGAGAGAGAGAGAGAGATATTGCAGTTCAATGGAATATCATTGGTTAATTATTCTCCTTGCTGCATTTTGCAGGTTTTCATACCCACAGCCAGACTATTCCGCTTTTAGAGAAGCAAGTTATGGCCATTCCACTTTAGAAATAAAGAACCAGACTCATGCTTTCTACCATTGGAATCGCAATGATGATGGGAAAAAAGTGCTTACAGATTCTGTCATATTGTTCAATCAATATTGGTGAGTTGACACACTAAATCACATATCCATCACTAGAATTATATGACAAATTTGTACTTTCTTCTATTACACTTGATCTGGGTGGAATCCACTTGTTAAAAACAAAACGAGGTTCCTCAAAACAATTGAAATGACCTGTTTATACTAAATGGGAAAACTTGCTATACATCCCCACCCCTACGTACTTTACCTACATCCCTTGTCTTCCAGCCGTCTGATCTGAATGGATATCTGAGATGGTCCCAATCGCAATGCTATGCCTAAAACTATTTTATTTTTATTTATTTAAATGATATTGACCCCAAATTTGGGGCGTCCAATCCTATCTTAAGCTTGCACCTACGAAAAATATAAAAACATATCCTTGATAAAATAAAATGACTGAAATACCCCTTAAAATTTCAGGGGTATTTTGGTCATTGTATCTTTTTGAAATATTTTTTAATATATATTTTTAAGTGTGCCCCATTGAGATAATGTCACACATCAACTTTCATGTTCATATGGTTTGTGGAAAAGAATTAAAAATAAAATACTTTGAAATGCCATTGTGGTTGATGCTATCCCAGCCATCCGAGATGAGGGACTTAGGTAAAATATATAGGGGTGGGGATGTACAGTAAGTTTTCCCATATTAGATTATTATTAAGGAGAACTTCTGTAATGCTATTAGGTATAGGAAACTGATATATACCACCAATCTCCCAGCTGTTTGATCTAAATAAACAGATGTGATAGCTTCTCTTAATGTCACAAGCTGATCATTTGATCTTGATATGACGGCTCAGAGTATTTTTTTTTAAAAAAAATTCTACAAATCATATCAATGTGGGGCATGTCATCCTCTTATAGAGGTGCACCTAAAGAAAATTTTAAAATTATCCCTAAAAGTTTTTTAGGGTTAATTTAGTCATTTTTTTTATTAGAAATATTCTTTTCCATATTTTCTTTAGGTGTGGCCCAATGACAAGATGGCTCACCCCAAATTTAGTATCAATATGATTTGTAGAAAAATTTTGTAAAATGGAATAGTGTTTTGGTGTGACATTGTGATTGAAGTCATCTAAGCTGTCCAATCAAATTGGATGGTTGGTAGAGAGGTGGCATATATAATTATTGTGTACCTAGTGGCATATAGAAAGGTTCCCCTATTACTAAGTTCAATGTTGCCCAAACTTGAATGCATATTTAGCCACGTTTGGTACGCGTGAAAATACTTCCCGGGAAGCATCTTCATGTGAAAAAACTCTCTCATGTGATTAGGTGTTGAGAGTATTTTTACACCAACGGCTGCCAATTGGTGTGACAAAATGTACTGGGACCAATTGGTGTGAAAAAACTCCCACACTTAATCACATGAGATAGTTATTTCACGTGAGAACACATACCAAATGTGTTAATTTCGTATTAATTCAGGGAGTATAAGGGTTTTTCTATATGATTGAACAGGGGGAGTAACATGGAGACACATCCCAGGAGGAGGCTGAAGAAACATCACCTTAAAGCCGTGCATGGCCTCCACTCTGCAATGTGAAAGGCTTGGTTTGAGTAAGCATTCACCAGTTGGTTATGAATCTAGAAATATGCATTTTCACTTCTACATGATCTTCAATTGCATATGCTTTTGTTTACCTCAAAACAATAAAGAAAAAATTGGAATCATGTATTTGAGGTATGAATAAGTTGGGAAGATATTTGTTAATGGATGCAAATGATCTCTCTGAGAGTATTTATCAGTGAAAATGCAATATTTTCGACCCTTGTTTAACTGTTACAGTCTCTCTCTCTCTCTCTCTCTCTCTCTCTCCAACACACGGACACAAGATTTGAGGCATTCTATCTTGAAAAGAATGATCATGTTCCCAAGAAAACCAGTGTACATAATGAAAAAAAAAACACACGTGTTAAGCTTCATCACCATCGGGCCTATCAAATGTACAGCACAGTAAAGATGAACGTCTGATATTAGTTTTTCACCGCATTTCGGTTATTGGACCTATGGTTCTTGCAAACAATATATTATACTTTCCATGAGTACCGCATTGGATGCTTAGACCTGATACCCATTATCCATAGTTACTTACGTGTCATGGGCGATGAGTTGTTTTCTAGTTTTAAGGGTTACGATGTTTTAATCCTTATTCATTGCACCTCTCGAGGACAACTATGACCGATAGATGTTTGATATGACTATTCAGTACCATACTTTGAACTTTGAAGCACTGTTTTAGAACTTGGAATTAATTATTACATAGGCTTTCCATTTCATCAATCGAAATTGGATGGCTGAGGGTTGAAAATATTAAAATATCAGAAAAAAGATTAGAAATTAAAGTTTAGGGTGACATCTAGCTTGCCTGAGTACAACAATCTGCAATTTGAATCGCCTAATTCTCTAATAGAACAGGAAGCTTTCTTCAAATTAAAGCAATTCTTTACTTTGTGAAGGAATCTGCTTTGTACCATTGAATTTGAACCGCATGAGCAATTCTAGATCCAGAGCAGCAAATTTTAAGACCTCTGTTCATTCGTACTATGTGGTCCTAAGTTATTGACCATTGATCATTGTGGATGCCCCAGTATGGTCCTTGGTTCTTGATTAATGTCTGTACCGCTTTGCACATATTATACATAGGTATGAGATGTCAATCTTATATTATAAAAGTACGGTGCACCACAAAAACTCATAGGAAAAAACCTCTTTGGATGCTGGAAAATTTTCCAATTGATCGTCTTGACATTGAAAATATGATTAAAAAGAATTCAAATGGTCCATCTTGTAACACATTATATAGACGGTGCATATTCAAAATTTTAAAATATTCATAGATTGCTTGATTTGCAGTATTTTGAAGCATTAAATTTTGATAATTATGTGGGGAAATAGGTTTTTAGGTTACAGCACTTGTTTTCGACACCTAAATTACATCTTATGGCATTGGGAATCATGTACAAAAATCCTCCCTGATGAGTTATAAATATCTCAGAAAAAATTCTTTGACTTAAATAGGCATTTTCGTAGAAGAAATTATCATATCTATTTTATGGCTTTATATTTTTTTTGAGAGAAATTCAGTACTTGTATTAATCAGAAATTAGAAAGAGATTACAATATCTGAAGTTAAAAAGGACATAAGGGTCGAACCACCTTTTGCAAGATGATCGGCTAGCACATTAGCTTCACGAAAAACATTCACAAACGAAGTATCAAGAGTCCTAGACAAATCCAATATCTACAGGAGGACCTAAGCTCCGAGGGGGGCTTATGAGTTCTATTACACCAGTTAATAACGTTTAGTGAATTCCACTCCACAATACAGAACCGGCCCAGTTCCCTTTCAGTGAAGATCTTTAAGCCATGAAGAAGGCTCTGCATCTCCGCATAGTTGGCTTTTTTGTCCCCAAGGGCCTTGCATAAAAAAACACCACCGTACCATTCCAATCTCTTAGAACACCTCCAATGTCAGTCGGATCAGGATTTCCAAAAGAACTTCTGTCAAAAGTAAGTTTAAAAGTTCCCTCCAAGGGGGGCACCCATCTACCCTTCGAACTACTTTTGAAGACATCTAGACGGAAGAGGATTGATAGGTTCCTCTTGAAATCAACTTCCAACATATCAGACCGATCCTTCGACACAGAGCAGAAGAGCCACAACCCACGAAGAATATTGTCAAACACATTCGCAAAAGGTAGGCTGACACCATTGAATACCCTACGATTCCTTTCCTTCCAAACTTCCCAGAGTATTAGGCCTCTCGTCATCTGCCATAAGATCAAGCAAGCCTTGGGTAGGGGAGCCGACAAATTTGAGATGATCCCAAGTGCTTCAGCGGGCATCACCATGGCAAGATCAAGTTCATCAAAATACCAGCACCAAATTCTAAAAGTGAAAGGGCAATGAAGAAAGAGGTGCGGCCATGTTTCAGCATCCAGTTTACACAATAAGCACACATTAGGCAACACCTTACCTCTCTTGATAACGTTGTCAACAATGAGACCCTTATTTTGCATTACCAGCCATAAGAAAGCTTGTACCTTTAAAGGTAAAGGCTATTTCCAGATCAGGGCAATCTGAGGCATCGACCGTCGCCATTGGTCATGGAACAAGAGATTATACATGGACTTAACTGAGTACTGTCCATCCAACTGAATCTCCCAAATGATTGTGTCAAAGGCATTTTGTGGAACATAGACCTCATGGAGAAGGGAAAGCAGCCCAACGAATTCCTGAAAAACAGCATCTAGAATCCTACTATAGGGGAGAGAAATATCCCAATTCACCTCGCAGCCCCTACGTACAGTCACATCAGCCACAGTAGCATTGGGGTTAACCATACGTCGAAAAATAGCAGAAAAGAGAAGTTTCAAAGGCACATCTCCAACCCACTCATGGTGCCAGAAAGAGATACTGCAACCATCACCCAGGCACCACTGGACATCCCTATGAATCAGCGTCCTACACGAATGAATGTGCCTCAAAAGAGAAGACATTGCCTGTGTACCACTTCTGCCTCCTACCCACATCTAAAATCCATCAACCCCATATTTTGCAGCAACAACTTTGTACCACAACTGGTCTTTAAAGACCAAGCTTCTCCTCTACCACTTAGACATAAGTGCTTGGTTAACCAAAGTAATTCGCCTTAAGCCTAGTCCACCTTTCATCCTAGGGGTACACACCCTATCCCATCGCAAGAGGTGAAACTTTTTAGAATTGTCAAAAGAGCCCCACAAGAAGTTTCTCATCATAGTTTCAATCATAGATCGATAAATTCGAGAGGCAAGCTTTTATCAAGGCATTTCGATTAGTAAAAAGAAAATGAAAATTGAAACACTATTGGACAATTGTGACCTTGCGATGAAGTTTGGATGGTGATAATGGTAGGGAAAATCACTGTTCATTTTTCACTTAAGGGCATTTTCTAGTATCTTCCCTATATATATATATATATATATAGCGTTAGCCCACTAGCTAACGCTACAATGTTAGCCAAACGGCTCAGATTGAATCTAAGTCGATCCAATGGTCATAATTACATTTTATATTTGAATTTTTTTTTTTTTTACAAATCCAAATCACTTAAAATTTTGAGAGTTTATTCTTTAAAGATATTAAAATCTAATAAATATAAAAATAATAATATGTAAAAAATAAATTAACCAAAACACTCACTAAATATTTCAAATGTATTTTGGTCAATTTATATTTTGTTAATTATTTTTTTAATATTTTTATTAGATGCACTTTAATGATAATAATGAATATCTAAAATTTCAAGTGATTCAAATTTGTAGAAAATAAAAATAAAAATTCAAAACAAAATAAAGTGATGGCCGTCTGATTGACCCAGATTCAATCTGGGGCATTAACTAAAATTGTAGCTTGGGCTAACGTCAGCCTTTCCTTATATATAAGGATTGTCTGCAAAGAGTCTATTTACTTTTTGTACAAAGAGGTCATAATCATTCATGTCTTTTAGATTCCAAATGGATAGTTGTAATAGTGTCATTGATTAGACACAAAGTTCCAAAAACAAATATTCTCAAACTTTGTGACTCAACCCAATTCATCCAATTTGACATCTACTGAGTGGAAATAATTATGACCTCATTGTACAAAAAGTAAATTGTCTATAAGCTTGATTTTGTGTTTTTATAGGAGCAAAGTACTTATTTAAGTAAAAAAAGAGTTAATGAACACGTCTTAAAGGGATCTAATTCCTATAGGATATCACAATGTACATTTTCACTATGCATCTCTTCAACCCAAGTATTAAATAGGGATGGATGATGTATCCAAAACCTGATGGATGCCATAGATAAGGATGCGGTTTGTCTAAGGCTGACGCCATAAACCATCCAAGTAAGGTGCACAATAGTGTCAAAAGATGTTAGAAATTTTTTTGATGATCTGAAAATTTATTATCTCTAATTAAAAAATTTAAAGTTTCAAAATTAGTGTAAATCAATTAGATCTATAAACACTTGAAAATTTGGAAAAGTGACAGTCTAAAAAATACATTACAAAATGCACTATTTTCAATACTGCAAATCCATTTTTTCTAATGTCCATACATGTTGAGGTCAAGATGATCAATTTGAGGATTTTTGGGCATCTAAACAATCTCTAGTGGATTTTTGAGGTGCACATTAATTTGATTGTTTAGGGCCTCACCCTTGTATAAACTTTTTTCAAACAAGGGTCTTGTAATTTAGATTGCTATATATAGAAGGGATTGTATACTATGGGACCATTTAATTTTGTGATTGTATACTATGAGACGATTTACTTTTAATACAAAGAAGTTACAATTATTTTTAGAAAAAAGTTAGTTTCTCAAGAGACCGCTGATCATATATTTGCACACATTTCCCCTTGAAAGTCCATTTAAAGATGGATTCTGGACCTAAATTTTTACAAATCTTCATTCTAAATCATGGTGATCATGAATGTAATAAGTAAATAAATAAATTCTAAAATTTTTAAATGGTTTTATTGAATTATTCAATAAAACTATTTACAATATCTAATTTGTGTGTGTTTTATACACCCAATCATAAGCACTTGATGGCATGCTTCCACATTTATTGTGCAAAATATGTTTCGGTCTATAAGCTGTACACTTGAGGGGCAAAATATTTGGACCACTTTAATGTGGACAGGTTATTTGTATTTTTGTCCATTTAAATTTTGAACCAATGAGGATAAATAAAATGGAATTATGTAAATAGATAAAAAAGATTGGTCATACGATATTTAAAATCCGAATTTGGAAATGGAAGACAAGAATCCTCCACAGGAGTAAGAGTGCTTTATGAAAGGGAAATTAGTGTAAATTAATAAAAACTAGTTTTGAAAGACAACCATAGAAATATTTTTTTTTTAAGTTTTGGAAAGGTAATCATAGAAATTTTTTTTTTTTTTAGAGAGTGTAACAAGACAAGAAAGTGTATATTATAGGTAACAAGATAAAAAAATGTCAATTATGATACAACTGTTGCATTCAATCATAGCTCTATATACGATAAAAGAACCACCACAATGATTAATATAAGGTACAATTGCTTTTTCGAAAAATGTCTTTCTCTATCTCAAATTCTTCGTGGTATCATAGCATTAATCTCATTCGTTTTACCGATCGCTATCTCCAAGTAAGTCTCTTTGTTTTTATCTCTTCGTCCTTGTGTATTTTGCATATTTGCACTTGAATATTGAGCCTTTCGAATTCATTCGTCTCTACCTTGCTTCTCTTCTTTTGCCCTTCCTCACCCTCCATCATCATACAATCGCACGTTACTTGCTAGTCACCACATAACCTCTAAACCTACGTCTAGCATATTTCACACATACCACTCTTTTCCCCCTCACATAAAATCTACACTTCTTTTTATTACACACCCAAAATCTCCAAACCCATTCTCTCTTACCTTCGATCGGTATTCTTAGTGATCCAATGAGTACTCTATCCTCGATATCCAAATATCCCTATCCCTCCACTCTTACCATAGGAAATTTTGTGTCCATTAAATTTACACATAATAATTATTTTTTACGGGAAACCCAAATACTATATCTTATTGAGAGTCAAAAACTTTCTGGATTTATTAATGGTGATTGCCCTATGCCAAATCAAAAGATTTCCTCTCCTGATAGCAAGAGTGAAATTAAAAACACAGACTACAAATTATGGCTAAAGTCTGATCAGCTTCTTAAAGCTTGGATTATATGGGCCATGTCAGAAGAGCGTCTCAGTCTTGTGGTTGGTTTTAAGACTTCTGCAGAAATATGGAAAGTTCTGAAGAATGCCTATGTAAGTAGTTGGAATTCCAACTTACCCAACAACTCCAATTATGCAAGAAAGGGAATTCGACGATATAATAATACATATGCAGATTCAAGAGTATTTGTGATGATTTGGTTGCTATTGGTAAACCTGTACCATATGAAAATAAGGTATTTTGACTTCTTAATGGATTTGGTCCAAAACATGAGAGCTTTGCTACCACTATGCTAAAGCCTCTGATTCCTTCATATTTTGAAATTATACCACTTCTTCAAAGCTATGAGATTAGAAATCAGCCTCATGTCTCTGAGGAACACTCATCCAAATCAAAATATGGCCTTTGTTGAACAACAGAGAAATTTTGGACTTAACAGAGGTATTATAAATTACAGAGGTAGAGGCAAACATAACTATAGTAGTCAACAGTTTTTCAATTCTCGGGGCCATGGATTTGCTCAAACATGCTAGAACAATAACGGGGGACGTGGTGTGCCTTTGACAAACCAAGAAAGTGGTGGCATACCTATGTAACACATGAATCAAAAGTTCCAACAAGATTCACAAATAGAGCAATCAGCTCAAACAACCCAGGAAAAGTGTCAAATTTGTAGAAAATTTGGACATATTGCATTAAAGTGTTGGCACCAATTCAATCATATATACCAAGGAAAAGACATTCATCAAGCTCTTGTTGCAGTGATTATAACAAATTCCCAATGCTCGGAATAGTTCCCAAACACTGGTACAGTAAATTGCAAAACCTTCGTCCTTATAGTGGTAGAGATACAGTCATGGTTGGCAATGATGAGCAATTTGGTGTTTTACATGTTGGTGATGCAAATATTGATGTTGGGTCTGGAAAAATTAATATTTCTAATGTTTTTTTGTTGCCAAAGATAAAAAAGAATTTATTATTTGTTAGCCAGTTTACAAACGATTTTCTTTGTATTTTTGAGTTCTCATAATATAGTTTTCTTATTAAAGAAATGAGCACATGGAGAACTCTAGCCAGCGAGAGTAGAAAGGGCGGACTTTATGCATTTGAGGATGTGAAAGAAGCTTTACTTTCTAATTGAAATAAGAGAACATCAAAAGATGTGTAGCATCAACGACTCAGATATTCTCAAGATAAAATCTTCCGTTACTTAGAATCTAAACAGTTGATTAATGTTGATGGATGAAATAAAGCACACTCTGTTTGTGTTAAGTTGTCATAAGGGAAAAAGT